GAGAGAGAGAGAGAGAGAGAGAGAGAGAGAGAGAGAGAGAGAGAGAGAGAGAGAGAGAATTAGAGGAGATGAATGCCTTTGACACATCCAATCTGCGGCTGTTTTGTGTGCATTTGATGTGTTTATTCAAAGGATAGCGAGATTAATGGACAAACGGTTTTCGGGAATCGCAAAGGGCGTAGGGACAGGTCGGATTATGGGTCGTGTGCACGTAGCTCCTTTAAAGGTAATAATCCGAGAATGTAGTGGCTGTTGATTATCATCGATTATAAATGTGGTATCTTGCATAGTCCTCCCTGTGCACACCCTCATCTGGCACCCATCCAGAACCTATCTTTTTTTTCCCCCGTTTTTGCTTTCCTGTTTTCCTTGTGTTTTTTTCTTTTCGTTGAGCATTCTTAACATGTTATTGCTCAGAAGCAATTGTACCATGAGTTTACCCGTGGCACATAATGAGGGATTCCATTGCAAAACAGGGTAATGCGACTGTGAATGTTCCAACTTTCTGACTTTCCAAGAAAAGGACAAAATTTGGAAATGATCCTTCCCCTTCAACTCCTCACTTCATGGTTGTCTTGTATATCCGTTTCTTGAATATCTTTTTGTGTTTGTTTTCTTGCTGCGTAGCATGGTGATCGTGTTCGCGCCCCTCCACTTCGGGCGAGAACGGGCGAACATATTTGTTTTTCACAAAAAAAAAAGTTTTCGGTTTTTTATTTTTAACTCACGATTGGCTAAGAACTTGAACACGACTCCAAGGCAAAAGTTGCTTGTATTGTTGTTTTACATGACATATTTTTTTCAGATTTTTCAGAGATTATATATATTTTTATTATTTTTTCATTCATGTTCGGAGGGTTTTCAGAGCTTGTTGCATTCGGGGGAACATGTTTGTGTTCGCCTTCGAACGCGAACACGATGCTATGCAGTTTTCTTGTTCTTTTTTCTCTTGTTTGTTGTTCTGCCAAGGTCTCTCCATTTTTCTTTTTTTCCTTTTATTTTTTTTATGCGCATAGCAGTTCTGTTGGATGTTTCTGGGTGTGTGAAGTATCGTGCTTTCCAGTTTGATAGTTGCTTGGAGCGAAACCCACCTTTGGCAGACCCATGAAAGGATGAGACAAGGTGGTCTGGAGACGTGGAAATGGGAGGTGAAGGCCTAGTGAGGTCCCCGGCGAGATCCTCCCCCGTCCCTTTTGGGCAACATGTTGATGAACGAAAACAAAGGTCCTAATAGCAGACTTAAGAATGGCAGATTTTGCAGGCCAATGAGCAAATTCAGATTCTTGTTTGCTCAATTTATGCACCTCCTCTCTCTCTCTCTCTCTCTCTCTCTCTCTCTCTCTCTCTCTCTCTCTCTCTCTCTCTCTCTCTCTCTCTCAATCTCTCTCTCTCTTCTTCTCTCTCTCTCTCTCTCCGAGTGTGTGTGTGTGTGTGTTGGCCGGTGGGTCGGTTAGTTGGCCGTTCAGTCGATGGGTAGGTCGGTCCGTGGGACAGTCGGCGGGCGGGTCGGTCAGTTGGTCGGTGGGTTGGGCGGTTGGTTGGTCCGTCTCTCTCTCTCTCTCTCTCTCTCTCTCTCTCTCTCTCTCTCTCTCTCTCTCTCTCTCTCTCTCTTCTCTCTCTGTGTGTGTGTGTGTGTGTGTGTGTGTGTGTGTGTGTGTGTGTGTGTTGGTGGGCGGTCGGTTTGTGGGGGGTCGGTGGGTTGGTGGGTTGGTCGGTGGGTCAGTTGGCTGATCAGTCGGTGGGTGGGTCAGTTGGTTGGTTGGTAGGTTGGTCGGTGGGGTGGTCCATTGATATCTCTCTGTCTCTCTCTCTCTCTCTCTCTCTCTCTCTCTCTCTCTCTCTCGCGCGCGCGCGCGCACTTGTGTATTTTGGTGGGTTGGTCGGTTTGTCAGTCCGTTGATCTCTCTCTCTCTCTCTCTCTCTCTCTCTCTCT